TAGGACTTGGTGTTTTGTTAATATGATTTATTGGGTTAGGGATTTTTTGTCTTCACTATGAGTTATATTGTGTTGGGGGGGTGCACTGATGGAGCTCAACCAATCTCATTGTACATATGTTGTGCACTGACAATAAAGATTTGAATTGAATTGTATACAAAAATTATGTGCTTACATAAGGAGTCAGGTAAAATGTTCAATGCACTTACAAGGCCTATTTAGACCTTCTCACCAAAGGCACAAGGATCTTTTCAAGCAACAGAGGGCATGGGTATACACCCGATCCCTCTTGAGGTCTATTTGTGTGAAGGGAACTACAGTTTCTTTCTAAACCGTGGTTGCGCAGTGATTAGAGTGCAGTACTGCAGGCTACTTCTTCTGACTGCTGGCTGCCAGCACTTCAGCAGTTCGATTCTCACCAGCTCAAGGTTGACTCAGCCTTCCATCCTTCCGAGGTCGATAAAATGAGGACCCAGATTATTGGGGGCAATATGCTGACTCTGTAAACGATTTAGAGAGGGCTGTAAAGAACTGTAAAGTGGTATATAAGTCTAAGTGCTATTGCTATTGTTATTGCAAACACATTAATTCGGTCATTTGTTTTTCAAAAGAATATCAACACATGAGTGCATCAACAATGTGGATCAATAGCTTTACCAGAAAAATTCATGGACTGCCTGTTCATACTGATATCCAACCAATTGTATCTCTACCGTTATTGTTTTCTTGGATTACCTGAATATTGTAGGTTCAATTGCATTCTGTTTGGGCAACCTACTTGTAATTGGCAATTTATCAAGAAGTAAATTTCCTTTGACTTACACACTATGATTAGAAGCATTCATTTTGAACCATCTTTCCAATAAGCCCCCTCTTCCTACCGCATTGTTATTTCTCCCCGGCCCCTTTGCAGCACAAGAGGGTCCAAGGGTAGCAGGACAGGTAATTGAATGGACATCCCTTTCAATGCCAATTTGCCTAGACCAAAAATTCCCCAAAGTTTGAAAATGTTGACTTATAAGACACACATCCTGGGCTCCCACAAAGCCTGCTGTGCTCCAGCTCTCTGCAGCCTGTCGTGGCAGTGGGAAGGAACACCTTCAGATAATGAAGAGGTTAAGTCTGATTGTAATCAGATTGCAGTATGCACAGTCATGTGGTTCATAGTAAATTTGCCTTGATTAACTGGTCCTGTTTGTTAACATTAGCACTCTCTGTGTTGGTTGTGGAGACATACCATAGACTGGTGCAAGATTAATGAAGGCAGGTACGCATGCTGATTAGATTGTGGCAGTTTAATAAACTCTTTGAACATTAAATTATTTAATGCATTCATGCTCATGCCGCGTATTCAATGGTCAGCTTGACCACCCTATGTGCTAATATTGAGAATTGAAATGCAGAGGATGAAAGAAATACAGCCGTGTATGAGGTAATTAGCTCTCATGGCTGATAAATGGGGCAATACCGATGTGTATACATGTTTTAGCACCTCACCAATAGTCCTTTCATTAACCAGGATGTTTGCTGAAAATTTTATGAAAGGTTTAGCTTGATTTTGGGTTTCGTAAACCATTTGGCTAGCAGCTAAAGTTGCTGTTGGTTTAATAGCTGGAACCAATTTAAAACTTGAAAGGAAAGAAAAGTAGAAGACGTCAGTCAATTTAATGTTACAACAATTATGCTTCCCACAGTATTGTAAGCATCCAATCACAGAATGTGCTGAAGCTGCTATCTTTGTTTTTTTTCTCTCTCTCTCTCTTTTGGAAAGCTATATTTCAATTGTGAGATCTGAGACAGATATTTCTCACTGTATGAATTTGTATATATATATATATATCTTGGGAAATCTGACAAGCCCATCAGATGCCAAGAAAGTTGCTGAAGTCTGAAGGAAAGCACTAAGTTTTTTGCATTGAGCTGCTGCCTGAATCAGGCTAACACAGCCTTCGTATGTGTTTGGTGAATCCCTTTCCACCATGGGCAACATGGATTGTATGTCAACTGCTGGGTCACTTCATGTTAACAGCAACATGCCAAGAATGCAGCATCCTGATGAAAGATGATGTGTCATTTCGTTTGAGGCATTGTACATCATGCTAAGTGGTATCCAAAGCAGTGGAATGAACCATGCTGCTAACAAGATGTTACCTATGCTTAATCTATGAATTTTCCCATTCAGTCTCTTTGACTAGTGCTACTATACTTAATACTGCACTACTAAACAAATGCTACATTTAGTTGCCACTAAGCTTCTATCTAGGACAAAAGGTTGCTACCTAGACCAAACCTTTATGGAACATTTAGCCATATTATTTACCTCTTCTGCTTCTATTTTATACTTCTATTCTATACTAACTCAAGTCAGTTTAGGGGAAAAAAAACCAAGTGTATTTTCCAATTAAGGCTAGGTAATTCCGTGTCTTATTGATTCCAGTAGGTATGTTTTAAGCACATGCTTAACTCTGCCACTTGAATCAAAGGATTTTATATAGCCGTCGTCTCAGAATTTAGCATTGCATTATTATGTTCAAAGAGATCACCAGTACATAAGTTGGTATAGGTTTCATACCCTAAAGCCTTCATTCCTTGATTGATATCCTAATACAATAAAAATCAGTGCATCCAATTAATTCTATATATTTATTTTTAAAAGCTATTTTGCATGTCATAGTAAATTGCATGTTGTATTTCAAACCCAGTGGTGAAAAAACAAGCAAACATAAAAAGTAATGAAAACAATAATCAGTCATAAATAAATAACGGCAGCCCACTGAAGTTAGCGACTAAAATCCTTTTGGAATAAACAGGTCACAGCATCCCCTTAATTCCATTTTGAAACACACACAAAAAAAAAATCTCCTGACCTCATCAGCTCAGGTCAGCTCAGAGTACCTGAACAATCTGCCAAATAACCAGATAAATCAAGTAAAATATCTTCCTTCCATCCTTCCTTCCTTCCTTCCTTCCTTCCTTCCTTCCTTCCTTCCTTCCTTCCTTCCTTTTTCTTTCTTTCTCTCTCTCTCTTTCTTTTTCTTTTCTTTCTTCTTTCCTTCCCCTCGCCCCCCTCCATTCCTTCATTTTTCTTTTTTTCTTTTCTTTTTTATCACTGACTTTGATAGGAAGAAAAATATTTGTAGTTCACGGCTGAAATGTGAAATCCTTGAGGCTCTCTGAGCTTGGTGCTTTCTGATCTTGTTTTCTTGCAGACATTTCATTACCAAATTAGGTAACATCAACAGCACTGTGTTGTTTGCTGCAAGCTTGAAAATGCCAGATGCTACTGGACAGAGAACAAGGTGGCTGGATGGAGTCACTGAAGCAGTAGGTGTGAGCTTAAATGGACTCCAGAGGATGGTAGAGGACAAGAAAGCCTGGAGGAACATTGTCCATGGAGTCGTGATTTATCGGACACAATTTCGCAACTAACAACTACAACTGGACAGAAGAAGACATAAAACACAATGTGATCCAAGGTTTGAATGGTGATTAGTTGTAAAGGAGGGAAATCACATTTTCAACCATTGCTGATTCTTCCAGGCAGAAAATGTTCAGATTTTATTTTCAAACACCTGCTGAGGTAGAGCTCCTTTGTAGAGTACCAGATTGGAGCAGCCACCTAGATTTGATGTGGATACTGAAAAAAACTGTAAAGATCCCATTCCACCACATCAAATTGGCTGACTGAATCAAGCTGATGTGCAATCCAGTGCTTTGATTCAGGACATCAAAGTGGAGTGATTCAATTTTATGAATGAAGCCATGATTGAATCCCTACAAAACTCTGGAATAAGGGGATTGCACAGACCTATTAAGAACAATTATGACAGAGCAAGCTTATTGTTGGGTTTGGAGTACCACAATCACAAAAGCAGGGTAGCCCATTGAGGCCAGGAAAATGAAAATGAAGCAGAAGATTGGGTCTATCACTAACTAAACTTAATCCCAGCTGGCATTAAATTCAGTGTTAAATATATGCTCCTAATATGACTACTCTCTCTTTAATCCCCCCAAGGTTACCAGGATCTCTGATTGTTTAGCTCTACATTGTACTGCTGTCTCTGATTTGAACTACTACCTTAGCTACAATGGGGAAGCTCAAATAAAATCAGGTAACGTTGCAGATGTAGATGTGATTCCTGACACTTTACTCAGTTTGTGTCCATATGCCACTCTGGGATGCAGTGATTCAGCACTTAAGACCTGAGCTTATCAGCTGGAAAGCTAATAGCCTGGGTGTGAGACCCGAGTGCCGTGCAACAGGGTGAGCTCCCATTACTTGCCCCAGCTCCAGCTCACCAACTATTCAAAAGCATGTAAATGTGAATGGATAAATAGGTACCACTTCAGTGGGAAGGTAGCAGCATTCTGTGCACCTCAGGGTATAGACATGCTGGCCATATCATCACGGTAGGATTTTCGGACAACACTGGTTCTTTCAGTTAAGAAACAGAGATGAGCACCAACCCCTAGAGTCAGACATAACTGGAAAGAACAAACCATTACTTTTATATGTCACTGGTCCTACCACCAAAGGGACTCTGGGCAGCTTCCAGTGGCACAAAAGCATCAATATAAAAGTATTAAAATTAGCAATAATTAAATATTTGTTAATTGATTAAATGTATATGTCACTCATCTCACCATCCAGGAGGTCTCTGGGCAGCTTACAATGGCATAAAAGCATAAGTATAAAAGTATTAAAAGCACTAAAATTAACAACCACTAAATATATTTATTTATGTATTCATTAAATATATAAGCCACCTGTCTCCCTACCCAGAGGGTGTATGCATGGCTTACAATGACATAAAAGGAAAAGTTGTGTTCCACCTTCTTATCCTTATAAGTCTGGTCTGGGGCTCCAGGATTTGGATCTCGAGAGAGAATGTGGTTACCTTGAAATATATGATGCAGTTCTTTCAATGGGCGGCTACTGCTATCACGTATCATCCAAGATGAAAGCAGTCCAGTTCATTGTTTGCTCTTCAGTTCCACATTTAAGGCTAAAGGAGTTTTTCTGGTGTTTGACCCTGCTGGTACTCTTCCAAGTCCTTCAAAAGAGAAAGGGGCTTTCCCTGCAGAACAGTCAGTGGCAGTTTAAATAGAAGAGAAACATTTCCATAGGATCTAGGATCCTGACCCTCTAGGGTGCCTAAACAATTTCTCAATAACTAGGATGGAATTAGGGCAACTGCCTCAGTTCCTCTTTTTGCAATAACTCTGATGACAGACAATAAACCTCCCTCAGATGTCATCCTGAATGGTAGGCTGCACATTCATCTTACATATTTGTCTCTAGGACAGGTGGTAATAAATTTCTACTTCCTGGGTTTAATTTTGACGGTCTTAGACAGTAGACAGGCATTTATTTCACCCTGAATTCCTTTTGTCAGCAGTTCCAATTATTAGCTCCGCACCCCACCCCTGTTCTTCTAGAAGTAAGCATTAGTTCAACCTTTGGAAAGCAATGTCAGTTGGTTTCCATACAGGACCAGTTTCTAAGCATTCCTAAATAGGAGACAAAAATTTTAAGGCAGAACATAGAGATCCAGTCTTATGAAGGGGCCAGGATTCTGAGCTAGAAACCAGAAGATTGTTGAGTTTTATTCCTAGTTTAGGCATAAGCAGCTGGGTGACTTTGGGCCAATTATATTCTCAGTCCACTTCACTGGATTCTTGTCGGTAAAATTGGAGGGAGGATCCATACATGTGAATACTGTTGACCAAAAATAAAAGCAAGGTAGCAATCCAACAAATAAGTAAATACACAAATGAAGGCAAATATATGTGTCCCAGGATAATGTTGCAGGATCTAATCTGGGATCTAATCGCTGGGACCAGTGGTTTTGTCTTCCGTGCTTTCATGCTGGAGAAGGGAAGTTCTTCAGGGAACTTCTCTCTGGCAGTGTGTGTTATTTGGGTTATTCTGTATGTGGTATTTTGTGTATTCTCTCTGCTAGAGTTAAGTTCCCTGAAGATGGGCTCCAGCCCGAGTCTGAAAATTCTGAAGTCAAAACCTCTGGTCCTGGTGACTGACTCAGATTGGATCCTAAGCAAATACACATAGTGGTCATCATTCTGAGTCCTATTAGAGTAAGGGATATGAATTGTCTGCTGTGCCACAGGAAAATAATCAGAAAAGGCAAAATTCCTGTGTCACATCTAGACATAAAAATATACCACTAGAGGGCAGGGGGAAAATGAGTTTTATCTTGTTGTTTCTATATAATCATCGTCTAAATGTTTGCTGCCCAAATATGCTATACCTAGCCAATATTAAACTGGGAAATAGTTCTTAAACTGGGGCCGTTGATCTCGCTGTTGCAATCTTGTGAGATCTGACCATGAATGGTGTGCATGGGCTTTTAATGTTTTTAAAATGTTTTTTAATAATTCTCCTATGTTTTTTGTTGTATTATTTTTTGCTGTTAGCCACCCAGAGTCCCTTGGGAGTTGGGCGGCATAGAAATTTGATAAATTAAATTAATTAAATTAAATTAATGTCATCTTATATAGATAAACATTACCCTGAACAGCTTATTAGTGAAAAGACAGAAGCAAAATTAAAATAAAGGTATAACAAGAGAACTATGTTGCAGCGAGAATTAAAATTTACTAAAACACAGGGACATGAATGGCCTTTCATCTGCCAGTGTGGTATTAACTAACTATACATTATCCATCTTGAGAGCTTGTATTACAGCTTCAGAGTTCCAAATTGTAAAGCCTTACATTATCCAGTGTTTTATTATTAATGCTGTGAATTATTTTGTGTGTGTGTGTGGAAGGAGTTGGTCTCTTTGAGCCAGTGTTGACTGTTGGAGACTGCCTGGACAAGTCCCTGCAATTTTCTTGATGAGATTTCAGAACTGGTTTGCCATTGCCTGTTTCTTGGGGTTGAGAGAGAGTTCCTGGCCCAAGGCTACCAATTGGCTTTATGTCTAAGGCAGGACTAGAACTCACAGTCTCCCAGTTTCTAGTCTGGTGCCTTCACCACTACACCAAACTGGCTCATGTGGAAAAAGTCATTAAATAGCTAAAGATAAAGGATCCTTTCTTAACATAGCAGATGTGTTGAACTACAATAGCCATATTCCCTCCTAACATTTATGGAAATTGTTTCAACATTTCTATGGGGTCAAATTAGGGAACGTTGCCACGGGGAATCCAAATGATAAATACTAATATGCAGCATGACTCATAATGAACATATTTTGATTTGGGGGCAGGCAACCAATTTGACCAGATGGGAAACAAGGAGTGATATTACACTGAAATTTTAGTGGCTGGCTATTTATTTTAATTCTGTTCCCTTAGCAGGTGTAACAAATAGCACAATTATCCTCTTCTTCCTCTTACAAGGCTGACATCACTCACCATGGATGTTTCATTACCATTCTTTCTTTTCAGAATAATCATAGGAAATATGTAATATCAGTGTCCATCCAACAAATGGTATGGATTTGAGAGCACTTATCATCCGAATCCTGGATAGCAATTTATTGCATTATATGACAGGATGAAACTATAAGTAAATTATGCATCCAAGTTGTGAAATGAACAACATAATTACAAGGCATCCGACAATTGTACAAAGTGAAGAGAACAATTGCTTCTTTCTTCTCACAAGTCATATTTTGATACCCCCAAGGCCACTTCCTTCCAGTTTGCAAAATGTCGTAGCATTACTTTTAGTTGCAAGCTCTTGAGTGTACAAAGAAAAAATAGTAATGAAAAACATAGCTTATTATTCCACTTTAACGAAATTACTTGGAATAACTTTCTGTCTTGTCTTCTTAATGACAGCTGGTACTGCTATGGAATAGTACTGTAAGGGGAACAGCAGCCTGAAATGATTTTAATGCTTTAAATTTATTTATTGTTATTTCATCACAAGTCTGTACATTCTGGTTCTGACTCTGATCCACTAGTTGCCACTGAGGTGCCAAATTAGGTTGCCTAATCTGTGCTGTTATCACAGAAATACATACCCCAGATTGTAATTGTGATGTCTGAAAAGCAATTCTCAGGTGGATCTAATTCAGATTCCCTGAGATTCAACAGTAAATGACAACCCTTACTCACCTAAATTTAGGGAAAGAGAAAATGCCACAAACCCCTTCCTATTTTTTTTACAATAAAAGTATAACAAAAAACAAAACCCCGCCCTAAAGATTCCCAACACTTTAACCAGTTCCAAGCTGAAATACCTGAAAGATATCACCTTCTCTAAAAGGCCCTGATTTTGTCAATCCAAAACAGAGAACAAAAGAAGTTTTATTAAAGATGCATGGCCAAACACAATGATCTACTGTGTGCAAATTGCATGCTTAAATCTTTCCCAGTTATATTTATGCAGGAAATGTACAGAATTTTAAAGAAAAAAACCTTACTTATAGCAATCTTACTTAATTATTATAGAGGTCCTTCTGATTTAGTTAAAAAATAGTAATGAGAGTAAAACTTTCACCCATTTCTAATGCCATACTTCAGATATAAAAATAGCTCCAATCCATCCTTTTAATTCCCTCCAATCAACTCTCATTAATTGTTCAAATACATAGAGAAAACTGTCCAGTTATGACTCTCCCAACATCACTTTTTTGCCTTCCAAAATATATGCTATTTATTCAAATTTTTCAAGTGGATAAACAGTAAATAAAATTGCCATCAGGCTGCAGCCATGAAGTTCTCTATAAAATAAATTTTGCAAACAGAAACAAGGTCAGAAAAAAAAAGTTATTGTAAAACAAAAATAAGCTATTTTAGGGTTTAAAAACTACTGTAGAAATATTAGTGGTTGGTGAGGTATATTTCATGTCCACCCACTAAATGAGAAGCTAAGAAATTGCCAGGACGAAAAGAAACTTCTGCTAAAATAGAAGCTTTCATTCTTCTCTTAATGCAATATAAAAATGCGTAACATAAAAGTTTAGACCTGAAGCAGTGTAGCTGATCAAATGCCACACATAGGCCAAACAAAAGTTGCTTATTAAACTACACCGTTCAGCATAAAGTTTTGTATTTTAACCCCACATCACTTCACCCCAATAAATTGTCAAAACTTTTGCACTGCGAAAGCTCTCAGGCTAAATTAATGGCTTTGTTTTGCAAATTAATTTAGATATTAAAAAATCATATTTTCAACTGAAAGTGCTGTTACTCAGATTAAATATTAACCAAAAGCTGTCTTACGCTTAAACAGAATTTAGCCTTTGAAGTGTTTTTATTAATCTCTTCTGATGTAGGTGCCTGAAATTCTATGAAAATGCTGTTGCTCCCAGTTGCGTGCATCACTTACTGTAATTTATTTTCAGAACATAATTCTATTTATAAATGAAAATCCTATTAAAAGAAGACAAGAAAAATTAGTCCTCGACTTTGCATTGGTAGAGTAGAAACAAAATGAGCAGTCTAACCTAAAGTGACATTTACAAATTACCTGTTAATTTAAACTGGGTTGAAGGATGACAGAGTTTAGTCAGTCTGACAGGAAGTACCAAACAACTGACAGTTGGGTCTAGAATGGTATGTGGGCTCCTGCAGAGAGCACATTTGTCTATGTTTTTTGGAGGGGAGGGAGATTCATTTCGATAGAGTAAATAATATATCTGTAAAAATATTTACTCCCTCCCCCCAACCAGGTTTTCATAGAGATGTGATCTCCTGTTCACAATTCTCTTGAGAAAACACTTAAAGTGGGGGGGAGGGGCACTTGTTAATGCCCAAAAGGATAATCACGCCATAATTGTCTTTGTGATACTCAAACATTAGTGGTGAGCCCTATATTTTGAAATGGGTTTGGAATATCATTGTTGTCACCCAAGTCAAGATCCTCTGTTCTACCGCCTTTGTAGATGTGTTTACAGGCAAGAGATATGTTTACAGACAGAGGCCACAAAAATACAGACATTTACAAATGTGGCAGTCACTCCCTATTTTCTACAGCCTGTAAATAGTTTCTTATGATACGATTTAAAGCATTGTAAATGCCAATAGAAGAGACCATTTGTAGCTCTGGGTTGAACTGTGGGGTCCTTGGTGCTCTCTGAGTTTGGTGGTTTTCATGCAAATATTTCATTACCAAACTAGGTAACATCATTAGTGCTATTCAGTGTTGATCAGTAGCACTGATGGTGTTACCTGGTTTGGTAATGAAATGTTTGCATGAAAAGGACCCCACATTTCTAAAAATACTGTCTTGCACTTCTTCTTTTTTTAAGGTGGGCGAAATCTTCAGATGATACAAGTTTACTCGTTCTTTCCCCATCAATAAAATCATCATTTTAAAAACATACAGGGACTTACAATTAAAGCCAGAACTTCCGTTGCAAAGCAATGTGGTCATTAAGTGAGTTGCACCTGATTTTACGACCTGTTTGGTTGTGGCCATTATGTAAATCACAAGGTTGTTAAATGAATCTAGCTTCCCCCATTGACTTTGCTTATTGGAAGCCAGTTGGGAACTTCTCAAATAATGATTATGTGAACTAGGGATGCTGCAACTATCATAAGTACATGCGCTTGCCAAGTGGCCAAATTTTGATCACATGACAGTCGTAAGTTTGAAAACCAGGTGTAAGTTACTTTTTCAGGACCATTATAACTTCAGAACAGTTGCTAAATGAGTAGTCATAAGTCAGGACCAAGGGTTAAATGCTCCCGGTTTGGACTGGATCGCCCGATCTGGTAGCGATGGCGGTGGGTGGTTCAGAC